AAAAAAATTTTTTTTTTTTTAAGTGTCTTGAGGTCTTAAAATCTTATATACACAGAAGTTGTTTGCTGAGCATTTGAAGTCATCCAGTTTTATTAGGTGGCAGCTACTGGTGTTTATGAGGACCTGATTTAAACCACAGACATGAAACAAAAGAATGTCCTTGTTTCACAAAAAGGGAGACTGTGGGCCAGGCACGGTAGCTTAAGCCTGTAATCCTAGCACTCTGAGAGGCTGAGGCAGGTGGATTGCCCGAGCTCACAGGTTTGAGACCAGCCTGAGCCAGAGCGAGACCCTGTCTCTAAAAATAGCCAAGCGTACGTGTGGCAGGTGTCTGTAGTCCCAGCTACTTGAGGCAAGAGAATCGTTTGAGCCCAAGATTTTGAGGTTGCTGTGAGCTATGACACTAGAGTACTCTACCAAGAGAGACAAAGTGAGACTCTGTCTCAAAAGAAACTGATTTAAAAATAACTATATGAGTTCATAATAATTAAAAATAATTATATGAGACATAATTCATATACCATGCAATTCACCCTTTTAAGGCATACAATTCAGTGGTTTCTAATATATACACAGCAGTGAGAAACCATCACCACAATCACTTTAGAACATTTTCATCACCCTAAAAAGAAATGCTGTACCTATTACCAGTCACATTTCCTTCACATCTCTCAGCTGTAGACAACCACTAATCTACTTTTGGTCTCTATAGATGTGCCTATTTTGGACATTTCATATAAATGGCGTCATATCATAGATGATCTTTTATGATTGGCTTCTTTCACTTAGCATAATGCCTTCAGGGTTCATCCATATTGTAGCACACATCAGTACTTCATTCCTATAATGGCTGAATAATAATCGTGGTATGAATACAACACATCTGTCTATCAGTTGATGGGGGTTTTGGTTGTTTTATTTTATTTTTTTTTTGATACTGTGAATAATGCTGCCATGAACATTTGTGAATAACTTTTTGTGTGAACATGTATTTTAATTTCTCTTAAGTAATATACCTAAGAGAAGAAGTGCTGGGTCAAATGGTAACTCTATTTTTAATACTTTGAGGATTGTCCAGAGTAATTTCTAAAGTGACTATGCTATTTTACATTTCC